ACGGCTGCACTGGTGGTGGTGGGAGTATAGCAGTGGTGAGCAGGGAGCTCCCGCAGGTGCCGCCAGCAGCGTTGGCCAGCGGGGATTGCGGACCACCCGCAGATGCCGCCGGTGGGGTGGCAAGCAGTGACTGCCTGCGGGCATCGCCAACAGTGTGCACCCCCTATGTGTCACCCCTGCTGGAGCAACTGTTGTATTACTATTCAGGAGGCTGTGGGAGTCAAATAACTTTATGGTTCATTGTTCTTCACTCCAGAGGTATTAACAATCATGCTCTCTCGTTTTTAATGGCCCTGTGTTACACTAAATAAGCTAACTTTTCGTAGAACAATTTTGTTGTCTGCTAGCTGCTTCTGGTCTCCTGCTCTATTTCACAGCCTTGGGACTCCAGCCTTTTTTCAAAAGCACAGGTCCAGCCATAGTGTGACAGGACCCGCCTCAAAGGGCTGTTGCGGCATCCTTGGCAGCTGAATTAATCTTGCCATGGCTTGATTCAACATTAGTATAGGTGGAAATGTAGTTTAGATTAGTATAGATGGAACATCAGTATAGACTTAGGGAAGCTGGATGAGGCCTTAGGTGCCTCACTGCTCATCATAGGTAGTTTCACTCTGGCCTGATTCTTCCCCTGTCCCATGAACAGGGCATTTCTCTCAGAACAGCTTGGGTGCACCTGTCTTGGTGTCTCTACTCTGGGGTCTAGGCCCTGCCTCAGTATCCTGGGTCCTCAGCCCTCTCCCCTGTACTGAGAGCCACACCTGAGTGCTTCAGGCCTCCAGCCACTAACTAGACCCCCCTGCCTTGTGAGCATCAACTGTGGCCCCTAGCCTGCCCCATAGAGCCATGCCAGTGCCTCACATGTAGCTGGCCTCACCTCCTTTCAACACTGGCTTTAGTTCACTGGTCCCCTGGCCCCGACAGGGCTGCTCCCTCCTTTGAACCACTGGCTTTAGGAACTGAGGACCCCATTCAGCCTGCTGGGAGCTGCATCCCCAGGGACCTTTGCTCTAATTTGGTCTCGACCCTGCAGCCCACTGGGTCCATTGGCTTCAGCCCACAGAGTGCCCTTGCACTAATGCAGTCTCAGCCCCTCAGTGGTAGCCCACCAGGCTCTAAGCCCCTGCTCACAACATTTGACTGCTTGGTCTCCACAGGCATCGACCCATCCTTGGCCTGCAGCCCTAACACTGAATGCCTTGCTGGCATCTCTCCACGGCCACCTCTGCCCCAGCCACTCCCAAACTTTGTGGTCCAAAAAAGCTAACCTGTCAGGGTACACAGAGGATCCCTCCCCATCCCAACCTGCAGCCTGGGGTACCTGATCTCCAAGGACCCTGGTTTTCTCTATTTAAAAATCCCGAATTCTCTAGTAAAATTCCCCAAAATCTACTTTTTTCCTTGATGAAAATGAAATGCCACTATACATACAGGTGTCAATTGGACACAATGTTTTATTGATATATTTACAATTTGAAAGCAATTTGGAATCCTATCAGTGCCTCAATCATTATAATAAAGTAAGTTTTAAATACCTATACTGTATGTTTTGGTGTTTTTATCATAGAAAATTAGAGCTCCCCTGCCCCCTTCGCTCAACAGGATGTGGGTCCAGCTGCGGCTGTCCCCTCAAGCTGCTTTGTGGTGCTGAGCAGCTCTGATATGCTGGTGCTCTGCTGCTGCCCATGCCGTGCCCCTCGCTTCCAACCCACAGCCCTTTGGGCCCTGCCAGTGCCCCTCACTCCCTGCTCACAGTCCCCTGGCCCTGAGGGGTGTGGACACACGCAATGCATGAGGGGGGCAGGTGGCACAGGCAATGTAGTAGGGGGGCACATGCCCCCCGAGATTTTTGCACCCACAGCAGGGCACGGGGCTGCAGTGGGGCTGGACCAGCACTGGGCAGGAGCCGCCTCCATAGCCCAGCAGACAGGACTTGCTGAGTTATGGATGGAGCGCCATGCAGCCATGGGTGTCAAGTTGAGGCACCCCCACCTGGCAGCAGCAGGGACAATTCCATGTCACTGCCACTGCCATGCCTCACTTTGGTGGCCATGGTGGTGTAGCACTCCCTCTTGCACCCCCCACTGGTCCGTGTAGCACTCCCCACTGGTCCGTGGAAGAGGCTCCTGCCTGGAGTTGGTCAAGCCCTGTGCCCTGCTGTGGGTGCAGAAACCTCAGGGGGCACATGCTCCCCCTCCCCCCCATCACCTTGTCACCTCTGCCGCATCTTTTTGTTTCCTCTTTTAAAGGAGAGAAATTCACATTTTCCACAATGAATAGGAAACCCAGATTGCTGCTGATCTCTCTGAAAGCCCTTTGCTCATTCAGCTCTCCAGGGAGTTCTTCTCTCAACAATCAGGACTACACTGTGCCTCCAGCTCTGAAGCCAAGCCTGTAGCTTTACTAACTCCACTCCCCTCCAGCTACAGGATTCCTAGTTCAAGGAGTCAGTGGTGGATGTTTCCCCAATGATCAATCTAGGCCTGTGTCACTGCTGCTTGCCTCCATGAAAGCCCACAACTCTGTGGCCAGTTGTTCCTGATCAAGCAATCTCTGCACTACCTTTAACTCTGCCTTTATCTCTGCTACCTAGAGCAAGACCCAGCAGCAAAGGCCTCCTGCCTACTAATCAGCAACATTCTTATCTGTACTGCAGCTGCCTTTTACCTCACTGCCTGGGCGCAGCTTTTGCAACTTCTCTCTAGCCAAATTACTGCATGCAAGTGGTCCGCAGCATTTCTGTGGCTTTGGACCTGCTACTCTGTTTGCCTTCTCTGGTGCCTATGCCTCCCAGATGGCCCCAGACTATGGTCTCTCTACTCCCCTTAAGCAACAGGATGTAGGGCCTCCCTCTTGCAATAGAAACCATGCTAGGGTCTCAGCTTTAGTTAAGCAGAAAGGGATGGTGAATCACCTGAAAATTAGGCTCTGTCCCTGCTCTATGCAGCCAAAACTCTGGGAGGAAAAATCCTTCATTCTGCCTTTCAAAAACCAGGCACATATAATATTCTAGCAAATGTTCTATGCAAGAAAATAGTGCTTCATCGATAAATTAACTGTTATGAGAGATTAATTTGCTAGTTCATGAGACTGTAAAATATTAAAACAGAAAAAAACCACCTTATTTCTAACTGTCTTTTTATTTTGTAAGAAGTCAGACTGAGGAATAATTGTTTTACAAGGAAAAAAGCTGATGATGTAAAATATAAACAGAATTTATCCAAAAAAAATATCACAGTAATGACTGGGAAGTCTTTTTTGACTTACTCAATTGCAACTGTTGCTACTTGCAGCATTCCAAATAAACTTAATTCAAAGCACACACACTGTTATAAGAAAAGTCTGTGTCTATTGTCTTAATTTTTACAATGAAACACCACTGGTTCCATAACTTTTCCACAACAAAGGACCCATCTGGCTAATTCAAGATGTCTCTCTCCCATTATGTCCAGGCATGATTTATTTAATTTTCTAAGCAAAAAGCCAAATGAGGGTGCAGAGAGATCAGCTCCCCGCTGAAACTCAGAACACTTTGCAGGAAGCATTCTGAGTTACAAGGATCTCTTGGAACAAACAGAAATTCACTGTTGGTTCCACTGGGAGGGGAATCTAGCTGCTGGCTGCAACTTGCAGCAGGTTTCCCCTAGCAATGGCCCTGAGAGGTCAGATGAAGACATTTCAAAACAACAGCGCCTCTTCTGTAACTTGTGTGTGTGCTGCCTGCCAGCCTCTAGCTGTTTTCAGAATGAGAGGGGGGAAAGGAAGTAGAGAAAGAGCTCATTCTAGGGGTTCTCCAGCCAGCACTGGAGGGTAGGGTGGGTAAATAGGAGCCACCCCACCCTCTAGGGACAGGGCAGGGAAGGCACTCCAATACACCTGCCCCATCCTCCAGCCAGGGCTAAAAAACCCCCAGCCAAACTCCCTTTCCCCCCCTCCCATTCTGAAAAGAGCTGTAGGCTGGCAGGCAGCACACACACAAGTTACAGAAGAGGCTCTGCTGTCTCATGGAATGAGGGTTCAGATTTCCACCCGAGTGGCCATTTTTTAAGCTGTCTACAGGCATGCACTTGTGTTTGGTCATAGCTATAAACTGCATTCTGTGGCCAGATTAGGTGCAAATTGTCATTTCTGTCTGTACCCAGGATATCAACTTCCAACTTACCAAAAGTATTACAGAATTCATTTACTCCTTCATTAGTTATGTGCTAATGAAATGAAATAAATCCAGTAAAACTGGTGTTCTTATAATAAAGTGTCTTGACACAGCAATCTAGTTAAAAATCAATAGGAGTAACGATGCATAGGCAAATGTGAAAAGTAATGATTTTCTAAACATCATGATGATGTTAGATTAAATATCCAGTGATTTTTATGCTTTAAACAAAATGGGTGCATCTACATAAGACGCTACATCACTGCAGTGATGAGCTATGGCGACATAGCATTGGTGGGCACAAACTGTGATGCTGATGCCACTGTGAAGCAGTACGACCCATGTGGTGCCAAGACTGCGCAGTAATGGTGGTTACTGCACAGTCATTAAATACTTGCTTAAGTACTGAATGACTGTAGTAACAACAGCCTGGTCTGGTGCACATGCAGATATACCCAGTAACCAGTAAACTATGAAAAAAGTATTTGGTCTAGGCATAAAGTATACCTAAAATCACAGCCACCTTTCATAGCAATAATTTGGAACTCTTGCTTATTTCTGCATCATTTAAATACAGAAAAAAAAATAGCGGGGCAAACTTTTTTTTGCAAGTTCACTTTTCCTGTTTGACATCAAAGATGATAAAAAAGTCAATGCAGCATTAATAATCATACCTTATATTTGGTCATGGTGCTAAAATGGTTGTTTCTGAAGAACACACAAAGTTCTCCTTCTTGAACTGCTGAAGTTAGCTCACATAATCCATGGTATGTCAACTGAGTGGCTGTGTTGTTCAGAAATTGCTCTGCTACAAATCCTATAAAAGCAACATACACTGTTAAATGTGCACCAATCATACATATTTTAAAAATATACATCTTGTGTAACAAATTAGACTCATCAAAAGATCACTGTCAACTAGTAAAATAAATATTTATGGCCAACACAATAGATTTCATTGTAAGAAAATAATCGTTCTTTCCTTCTAAATTTAAACACATTTCAATCCTTTACTACAATTATACTCAATAAATTTTGGATTTTTAAGTCCTTAGGTGCATTGAAAGCACAAATCAACTGTTAAATCTTTTTTTTTTTTTTTTAAGACATTTTAACTAGTATCCGTGGAGGAAAGCGTACTGCCAAAGTAGGACTTCTCAGAATGTGTTAGTGTTTATTGCATGGTTAAGATGCTAACAATCCATATGCAGAGCAGCCTACTTCCTTTGGAATATAGCTTTGGTTATTACATGAAGCCTGACAGGATAAAAGCATTGAATATATACTTTTCTCTACCTCGCATGAATACTGCTTAAAATAGTTGGTGGTATTTATTTTTGTTTTAAATCACAAATTTCAGTAATTCAGGCTATTTACTCTTTTTTTCCTGGAAGAATCTGCAGATGACTGGAGAATGAGTAGGATCATGATATTGTATATAATAAGGAATGCAAAAGGGGAAGAAGCTTGTAAGAGCAAAAGTCTAATTTAGGCACATAAGGAACTTCTTACAGTTATCTAGTTCAGGGGCTGGCAACCTAAGACATGCAGAGACACTGGATCTGGCCCACAGAACCAGAAGACTTTGCCTCTGCCTACACACGTGCTGGGACCAACTGTGCCCACGCTACTACTGCTACAGCTTTGCCCGAGACCAGCATTTCTCAACCCAAGGGTCAAAAGAATATGTAAAAGGGTCACAAACACACTTTAAAAAAATAGATCAACAAACTTTAAAAATGGATTCTCCTTTAAAGGAGAAAAATGTGGGAAACTGCAGGTTTCCTCTTGCAGGTGGGCAAAGTTCCAGCCTGCAAGGGGCTGCGCGAAACAGCACTGTTCTGTTTTGACTTGAGTTTCGAGGTTTCAATGGAACAGCATTTTGTTTCCAATTTCATTTCAATTTGAAACTGCTGTTCCATTTCGCTTTGTCGAAAAAGTGACGCTGTTTCAACGTTTCGCCCATTCGCTATAATGGGGAAGCTCGAAACAGCCTCTCTCATCTGGCAGGCAGATGGGGGCCCGCACCCCTGGGAGGGCTGCAGGGGCTGTGCCAGTCCTCCCAGGGCTGCGGACCCCCAATCTGCCTGCCAGATGAGAGAGGGAAGCTAGGTGTTGCTGCCTGGGACCAGGGAGCTGGGGAAGGGAACTGAGCCTAATTCCCCTCCCCAGCACTACCATCAGGCTAGGGAAAGGAACTCAGCCCCAGTTCAGTCCGGGCTCAGTTCCCTTCCCCTGCACTGTGATCGGCTTCCTGCAGCAGGAGCTGGGGAGAGCCAGGGCTGCACTCCGGGCTGAGCCACATGGGGCTGCGCAGCCGCTGGGAGCACAGCCCTGGTTCTCTTGTCTCCCACCACCTGGCTGCTTTGAAACTCAAAACGTTTCCAAACTTTCAAAATACTTTGACTAGCCTTGTTTTGTTTCGAGGCTGTTTCGAAGCCCTTTATTTCGATTCGATTTTGCTGTTTCAAGCTCAAAATGAGTCAAAACAGTGTCGACTTGAAACAGCCGGTGAAATTTCACACAGCCCTACTGCCTGAGGCTGGAGGGAGTGAGAGGAGTGCAATCAGGAATGGGGTGCCACATGCACGTGTCAGCCAGGCAGTGTGGAAACCAGTTCCCACAGCTTAGTCTATGGGGCAGGGCATATATGATGCATTGGGGGGCATGTGCCCCCATAGTGGGCCTAGGGCTGCAGCCGGGCTAGAATGGCATGGGCATGAGCTGCCTCCACCGCTCAGCACGCCGGACCCAGCACACGAAGGCAAAGCAGAGTGGCAAAACTCATTGCTGCTGCTGTTGGGATCCCTCATTGCTGCCACTGTTGGCTCTCCAGCTCAAATAATTGCCCACCCCTGGATTACAGCATCCACCTGGTAGAAGATACCCAGGGTGTAGACCCCCAATGCAGAAAGGACTAGAACTGGCATTTTTTACTTCCCAGTAAATTGCTCTAATCATCAGAGCATGGGCTAGGCATTTGTCCCATCCCTCTGCAACCCCCCCTCCAACGCTGAGCCACAGTACCTTGCACTTAATGTTTGTTGGATGAAAACCTACAAAACAGGACTGTGCAAGTTTCTGCACAGGTAGGAGCATGGACCCAAGCTAGAATCTGGGATCCTCCCCCATTCAGGCAGCATCCACATCTCATTGAGCCACATGCCTTTTGACTCATTCTCTGCTTCCTGGCCCTTCATGTCTCCCTCTCCTGGCTGCCCAACAAGGGGAAGCTCTGGGCAATGCCTAGATGGATTTTTTAACATACTGTATGCTTCCAGTAAAATCTCTACTTGCACGTTCATAGATATTATTTTTCATACCTCAACACCAGTAAAATCAGATTCTCTTATGAAACCAAGTGCATAAAAGTCAAAAGATGGGGGAAATGGCTGAAAGTTAAAAACCTTGAAAAACTGAAACAAAGAATTGTACTAGCTGAAATGTTGAGACCTAACATTCAAAAAAAAGCACAATATTTCATTCTAATACTAGTTAATTTCTTTTTTTAAAAGAGTACATGGTTCCTATTTCTAATCTCAATGACACACAGCAGACATGAAATCTGAATATTGCCTAACTGACCTCAGACTCAAGAAAATTTAGAAAAGATTTTTTCCAGATTTTTGAATTTGAGAAATGAGAGTTAAGTTAGTATTCAATTTGAAAATTCTACCTCCAAACTGCAATCTCAGCAGAGATTTTTTAGGGTGCAGATTTATAGATGAGGTTTAATGGACATGAGTGTGTATGGGGTGTGCATGTGTGAAAAGATAATGTACTTAAACAATGGATAGAGAAAAAAGAAAACAGACAACAGCATTCACCTACCTTCACTAACCAGCTCACTGTTGTCTGACTGTTTACAAGAGATTATTTTCTCCACCAACTGATTGTAGCTACAGTTGCCAACTGCTTTCACTATGTCAGCAATCTGGGTAAGGAAAAAAATAAATACAAAACCTAAATAATCCATTCATCTTTATGATGAACAGAAAACAGTTTCTCCCTGTGGACCTCTGGAATTTTGCATAACAAGATAACATCTTAAAAATAAAAGTATCTACATAACAATTTAGCTCAGAGAATCTACCATGCAAAGGTCAGCAGGTAATGTTGGTTTAAATAAGCCATAGTCTTTGTCACCCCTGAGCTACAGTAAGACTACCTAGATTTGCCAACACAGCTCTAGTAGCATAGGCAAAACTAGAGGCAGAACCCCTTTTTTTCTGCTGGGAAATTAACACCACCCATATCAGCAACAGAAAACTTCTGCTTCCATAGGACAGAAAATACATTTAGATTTTCCCATATATTCAGCTGGTTGCTGCCCCCCCCTCTTAACAACTGGTGCCTTCCCCAAAGTGTATTGCAGGCCCAGCTGGCACAGCTGCTATAGCAGAGCATCCAGAAGTCATATGGCTGCGCAGCGACTCCAGCCACTTCCCTGTGGCAGCTGCTGTCTGCTGGCAGAAGGCTTTTCAAGTAGACAAGCCTTAAGTGAAGTAGTATACAGTGCCCTCAGTACACAGCAGAATTATGCCAATGGGAGACTACACAAAGACAATCTTTCCTTGTTCTTCTTTCTGCTTCTGACCTTTTCTTCTAGAGCTGTTGTTAAAGACAGTTACAAAAGCACCACTCTGAAATACAGTGCAACTGCACCCAGGTCATCTGCCGGAGTCCACAGACTATGAGGATTATAAATATTTTGCTTTTTTATTTTAATATGAAAAAACGTTGTTCAGAATTTCAACATGTCTTGTAGACCACATAAATACATACTCACTTAAGCCACTTTTCTTTCACAAAACTTTCTACTGAATTATAAAAAGCAGTAATCAATTGACATGCATATCCCAATGAAAGCTAAAAAGATAGCTAGCTGCATCTGGTATTCTTTTTGCAATTCTCAAAAGATTTAGCAAATAAAAAATACACTTTCTTTAAAAAAAAAAAAAAGAGACTAACAACATTGTTACAATTAAAACATGCCTACCACAGTTAATGTCTGCGTTTGTATGCAAGTCTTGAATTTAAGAAAATTCTGGCTCTTTAGGATCAGACAGTAAGTAATTTCCAGAACAGATTCCTCTAGTACAATATCCCCCGCTACAGCTTCCTAGAGAACTGAAGCTTAGTAATCTTTACGATGGACACATCAACTGATCTCAACCTTCGGGAAGGTTGTGGAAGCAGATGTTTGGGTAGCTGTGGTTCTAAAATAAATACCAACTTAACTTGTATCCAGGTTATAGCTGCATTGGTCTAGAGGCAAAAGGAATCAGAACTTATGACAGAGGTAATAACTTATTAGATCAACTAGATTTTTGCAAAAAAATTCTTTAATTGCAAATGTTCGGGCACAAACACCCTTCTTCAGACACAAGAGAAAAGACTGTAAAAGTTCTCCTGGGTAGAAATGAAAGTTCATATATCATAGGAGAGTTGAAGGTGTGGTAAAATCTTTCCAAACAGGAGATTTTTTACCACACCTTCAACTCTCCTATGACATATGAACTTTTATTTCTACCCAGGAGAACTTTTACAATCTTTTCTCCTACGCCTGAAGAAGGGTGTCTGTGCCCAAAAGTTGCAATTAAAGATTTTTTTTTTTGCAAAAATCTAGTTGGTCTAATAAAAAGATATCACCTCTACCTGGAGTTCTGACAACTTAACCTTTAGTCTTCTTCACATCCAGGATCTTTACACCCCTTTGTAAAGCGCACAGCACAACAGCTGTCCAGGTCTGACTAAAGCCGCCAGGTGTTACCCTAATATTAAATAACTAGCAGTAGTAAGAAAAGCTAGATTGCACTGGCTTGCAAATAAAAAAACAGAAGTAATTTAACAGCATCAAAACTACGGCTGCTGTAGCTTCTGTTGGTCTACAAAGAGCATCACCTATGTAGAGTACATCTGAAGTTTGCAAAGAACTAGAGAGAATAAATAAGCCACTTAATGAAATAGCTACAGTACACTGTCAAAATGAAAAAAGAATTCTGGCTATGAAAAAAAAAAATCACTTCACATTCTTGAAAAAAATTGGAGTTGTGGGAAAAAAATCTTGATATTTGCAACCCTTTAATGACCATGCCTAAGAAAAAAATCCTAAAATAGAGAGAAAATTTTAGCCACCTCTCTAGGACAGTTTCTACAAAAAACAAAATATACCACCTCTCTTCTTATCTGGATGCCGACTCAGGCAGCATAACAAACAACTTGTACTTCTCCTGCAGATAAACAATTCATTTTTTAAAACTAGTTATAATGCACTCTGTTCTAGAAATAGCAGCTACAAGAAGTAGGGCATAAACTTGAGTAAGGAGTGAAATAGCATTATATTCACCATCTTACTAGCATACAGTCTCTCATGTGAACCAAAGACTGAATTTCTAGTAGTGTGGTATCATTCATTTCAATGCATCCTTCAGACTGTCAATGCTATTTTAAAATCTTTGAACAAGTAAAAAGCAGCAAATTCTAGACCTTTGGCAGATCTAGCACTCAGTCCTTGCAGCCTAGCATTCGCTCCTTACAATAGTCCTTTAAAATTAACACCCCTATTCATATTTTTGGCTGAGAAGTCAACAAAACTTGTCAACTAACATTCCAAGCATCTAACTTAATTTTTAGGGTGGTTCCCAATAATTGCCTTAAACCAGCCCAACTCACTTGAACTGCTCCTTCAGTCTGCATCTTCCCTCAGGCCGAAAGGTTCCTTTAGCAGCAAGCCCTTCTAAGAAAGTCTTGCAAACTACTTGTCCCCTCTGTCTTATGTGAGCTCTAGCTAGGGACAGCACATACAAGAAATGGGGTGCAGAAGGGCCAACATTTAGGAAAAAAGTTGTGACACTGCTGCTCGTTGATTTTTTGCGTTTACAGCCCACAATACCCAGATAAGTTCCAAATACACTGCAACAAGGTGGGGAAGAAAAGAAGGCAGTCTTGTGCTCAGATCCTGGAGCGCAACAAAACTTCTCGGATTGGGCTGATCTGATGCCAGAGGTCACAATTACGGGTTTACAATATAGATAGTTGATATCTCTGGACTATCACTGGAGAGACAACCATCAACTCCTCTCTGTGCAACTAAAGAGGCAACTAGTTTTCAATTAAAATTGATCAGGTAACTGTGAAAACTGAAGTGCTGTATAGATCTTCAAAGCTGTTCATATTTCTTCAAGAAAATAAATAATAGTTTAGAGAAGGAATGGATTACACATGATTTAAGCTGTTTTACTTACCTGAGGGTCCACTAACCATCCATGGTACAAGGGAATATCAAGAAGGTCAAACACTATACATTCAGGTGTGTATTCAAATACTCGTACACCAGTGAATTTCACATTAACATCCAGGCCCGTCTGCAGTTTATGTAAAATAGCCATTGCATCACTCATATTCTGGCAACAGAAAAAAAATACAGGTGAGCCAAACAGACAGTGTTAGAGGACTACCTACATTTGATGGCTATTCTTTTAAGTTGAGCTTTCGAGAAAGTTGACACTTACAGAAAAACCTGCAGAAGGGCACAACAGTAGTTTCAGTGAATATTTTCATCACTAAGTTTCAATAGATAACAACACTCAAGATAATGTTCAAACACAGTAAACTTCAATTGTAACTTCACACAATGAGGAATTACCTGGAGCCAAAATGCTTTTGTTATTATTTGTACTATCAGAGACTGCAGGCACAAGTCAAAGACCAGGACCTTTATTGTGTGGACCCATGGGAAGGGATCTCTAGAAAAACTCTACCAAGACTTTAGAAACTTCCTCCCTTCCCTCAAGCTGAATCCTGAATGCTCTACCCAGCAAATTAGTTTCTTAGACACAGCTGTGAAACATCAAAAAGTCCACATCATTAGCACATACTGGAACCCAAATGACTGATACATCTACATCCACACTGCCAGCTTTCACCCTAAGCACACCCCTAGATCCAACTATCAACAAACAATAGGAATGCATCTTTCAGAGATCCAGAACTGGGTTTCTGACACTTATAAAACAATCCCCAAAACAAAAACCAGTCAAATCAGCATAGCTAAACTCAGACCCTACTCCCACCTCCTAAAATAACAACCCTGTGACAAGGACAACAGAATCCCTCTGGTTATAGTCCCCAGCTTTAATACCTTAGACATTAGATCATTATGACCTCCAACCCCTCCCAGAAAAGTGGCAATCAACTCAAGGTAACATTGGGAGACAAGCCTGTCCTGGCTTACAGATAGCTCCCCAGCCTCAAACAACATCTTTCCAGCAACAGACCACAAGCTGCCTGGGCCTTGCTACAGCCCCAGATGCCAGCAGTATTCTCTCATCATCAGATCACATCATCACTGGACCAAGCAACAGGAATTAGAATATCCATGGTTTATTCACTTGCTCCTCCATTAAAGCCATCACCTGCTGTCTAGTCAAATAGGGCAATGCTTATGGGAAAGAATGAATAGACATCAATCCAACATCAATCCCAGAAAGACACAGAAATGTGGCAATACACTTCAGCCTCCCGGGATGTTCCATCACTACCACGGAGTAGTTGTCCTCAAACAAAAGAGCTTTAAAAAATAACTTGAACATGAAACTGCAGAACAAGAAACAATCCACAGATTGGACTGTGTTAACCATGGTCTCAACAGGGAATGGATTCTTATCCCATTAGCTGGGCTAGCTGTTAACTCCAGTGGCCTTAAGTGATGAAATGCCACATTTATCTCAATTGTTGCAATCAACAGACTCTTAGCAGTACCCCCTCCCCCTGTCCCTTTCCTTTTCATAGAAAACTCTTTCTTCCAGCCAGTCCTTTCATACCATAAGAAGCAGGTTGTTGCCTATGAAAACTCTTGGTTCTCTGAACCAGTTAGTGATTCTCAACTGGGGTTAAACTGCTCATGCTCTCCCTCTACAACAGGGCTCTCTAATTAGCCTAAAACAAGCAGGAAAAGCTGCTTCATGCCACGCAGCTCTTTCCAATCCATTTTGCCCAGCGTTCGTCCAGGAAACAGGCATGGGTGGAACTTTCTGTCCACTTCCATTTCCAGGAGGAGCACTGGGAGTGCTGGACCAGAGAGCTGCAAAGCACCAGGCAGCTCCTGCCTGCTTTAGGCTGATCAGAGCCCTAATACTGGAGATGCATGTTCACATGGCACAGTACTTCCTAGGCTGGCTGTTTAGGACAGGACAGTATCAGCACAAGTTCACATCCCTTCCCGGCAGCAGAGCCTGGCTGAGAAGCGCTCAGGTAAGCCGAGGCAGCACAAAGAGTGATTTTCAACAAGGGGTGCTGCTGCATTCCAAAAAGTGGTGGTGGGGTGCCTGAAAATGTTGACAACCACTGCTGTAGGGTCTCTTATCACTGGTTTATTGCTGTTGGGCAGTGATTCTCAATGAGGGTTCTGCAGCACCCTGGCGTGCTTCGAGACCCTTTCAAGGGATGCCATGCAATGGTAGCACTGTTAGGTGTGCAAACATGATTTACAAGATAAATCCAGAGATTTCAAATAGGAATCCATAGCGTTAAAAACATTCTGACCTGTTGTGGTTTTTCTGGGTTCTTTGAAATAGAAGAATTACTCTACTATTTTTCTGTAGCCAAAAAAACCTAAGAGCTGTCATTTTCTGAGAAGTGCCTTGAGTTTAACGAGGGGTACCGCGAGTCTGAAACTGTTGAGAAACACTGCTTTAAGGTGCCACTCTGCCAAATCTTCTACCTGTATTAGTATCTAAAGACAGAGAGATTAAACCGTCAGAGCAGGGACTAAACAAATATTTTGGGGTTTGGGGTTTTTTTTCTTTTTAAAGTCGAGTTTCATATTTTAAGCCTTCAATTTGTTGGTTTTCAGGAAGGAAAAGGACAAGCAGCAGCATGTGAAACAATATTTGTTACCCTTTCTGCAGGTTCTGGTTCCATAAACAGACCAAGGAATTGCAAAATAGACTAGAAATGGATAAGGAGCACTATTGAGAGATTCATAGTTTCATAGACATTAGGGCTGGAAGGGACCTCGGAAGATCATCGAGTCCAGCCCCCATGATGTTGATAAAAGAAAAAAAAAAACAGCTAGTGAACAGTTAGTAGCCACTAATAGAGGCAATTTTACTCATCTACCACAGCGGTTATGCAGAAGAAGAATTCTACCATTTGCAAATCCCCACTGAACTTTGCCTGACATCAGTCTACATGTCACTCCTTCTTACCAACATTAAAGAAGCCAGATTCAAGTAATTCCTATCTCTTCTCTCTCCATGTCCCCAAACCAGAAATCCAACACTAGAGGAGAAAAGGTGTTTATAGGCCACCTGTCCAGCAATATCCTGGACTTCAAATAATGAAGACGGGCTAGAAAAACAATTGAACAGAACTACAGAAAAGTTTAAAATATGATAAAACTGTTAGAATTTTAAAATTAAAGTATGATTGGAGACACAAACTTGACTACTACCCCTTGAAAGCATTTGACAAGAAACAGGACTAGATCATTAAAAAAAATAAATGATACTTTTAAGTTGGCTTTACAAAATTATTTTTTCCTAGCTGAGCAGGGTAAAATGTTTGGAGAGGTTACTTATTAATATAGGAGAATAATTATATCATATAGCCACCTTTGTATAAACCTGAAAAGTAAAACAAAACAAAACAAAAACAACTTTGCTTTAATCAAAAAAATTCCCACAACCTTATTCTGAACACACTTTCAAGTAGTTTCTACTGTAGGAAATCTGACATAAAAATAATCATTATTAGAATGACGTGATCTACCTACTTCTAGAGGAAATTTGCTCTTAATTGAGGGAATCATGAGCATTTTGATGGAAAAATCCTCACATAAAGCATGTAAGTAGTTCTGTTTCACTAGGTTTATAAAGGGTACATATAATTGTGGACAATAATTGAAGCTCTTCAGATAGCTTCCATTCCTTGAGATGTATCCTTTAAGAGGAGGGAACTAAGGGTAGTCAGTGCCTTGCAAGATCTTCACTAACAGCTTTTTACAATCCATCAAAACAATGGAAGAAATAAGCAGAGATGCAAGAGAACAAGGAGAGAGCATATTATTTTCCACCCAGAGGGAATAAGTATGTATTTTGCAGTAAGTGCAAAGTAAGTGTTTTGCAGTAAGTATGTATGAAAAGGTATTAAAAGTTGCAAAGCGTTCAAAGAGAATTCATGATTTGACCATCAAGAATTTACTGAAAACTTTAGTGTGACCTATTTTAATAGAAAACCAATAAAGAGAGGATTCAGTGTGAACACTGTGGAAAGAAGGGGTCAAAAGAACAGAGCTAAAGAATGGTAGAGTTTAACCAGTTGAGGTGAGGGAAAGGGAAATAATGAGTATGAAGGAGGCAGGAAGCAATGACAGTAAAGCTACAGGACAGACATCCAAGAGAAAAAAAGATGACAAACAATGAGTAGTGAGCCAATTATGTTTACAGGACAGATATAGGTGTACAGGAGGATGACTTATCCAATTAAAAGCAATCTACTAAATGGCACTGAAATTGTAGACAACTGGATCAATTAAACAATGTACTAAGCAAGAGATTTTAGTTGAGAAGTTAATTTTGTATCAAGTTAATGAGTAAATCAATAACCTGATTAAGACCCAAGCCAAATTGATTGTGTGTGTTGGAATGCAGCAAAAACATATGTATTACAAAAAACAGTTTGTGTGTATTCATAAAGACTAAATTACTCTTGTAAAATAAGCTGTATTTTCACTAAATTGATAAAGGTACATCTCTGACCCAGGGGCACTTCAGGATTTTGAGATTTTATCCCAAACTACAAAAGTGCTAAAACTATCAGAAAAGGCTTTTATAAGATAGTCAAAAATGCTGCTCTCTCCCTACACTCTACCGCAGCCAAGGATTTTGGTGGAAACGGTTCTCCCTCAGATTTTTTTTTTTTTTTTTTAACACAAAAAAAAAAATGAGCCACATAATTATGCTGCTATAACTTAAATAAAATTATATCTTTTTATGGTGTTTATCTTCAATACCACTAAGGCTGAAAAATTATTTTTAGTAATTTACTGAAGTTAAATCTATGATAGTTACTAGACATGTTCTGCAGATCCACTACTATATATACACACACACTAGAATGTTAGTACAGATTTGAATAATGGTAAAGAAGAGAAAAATCTGTTTCTAATGTGTTAGAAAATGTTGTCTGTTCAATTAAACCACTCTTAGAACTAGGTTGGAAATTCCTTCCCACAAGGTATATTAGACGGCCCCCAATGCCAGTGTCAAATGTTATTCCCGAGTAAAGCGATCAACTCTTGCAGCAGAATCAGCCAGATCAGTTCTCAGTTAAATGCCTATTGTACTGAATACTTATATTTTAAATCAAGAAAGCACTTATTAACATTCAACATTTACAGTCAGTTTCATTTTGTTTAATCACTTTTGATATTTTAACATTCTATTTCTTTTTACAAAACAGTATCCTGAGAAAGAGAGAAATGAGTCAGAGCACAAATGCACAGTACCCTTCTACTAACACCCATACTGTTTGCTCTTATTGGATTGATGTGACAAATTTCTCAATTAATTAGATTTTCCTTGTGTGCATCTAGACCAAAAAAAAAAAAGAAGTTAAATTAAAATTTGGGACCACATATCAGTAATTTAAGGGTAAAGCACATCACAAGGATGTAGTAACTCTCTCAAAACCAAGCATTATAAAACAAAACAAAAACAAATCAGAAATAAAGATACTTGTTTCTTTTAATGCATCTTATGTATGAAAGGTAAAACAGAAGACAGGGTAGATCGCACCTTACAGACCAAATCAGAGATGCACAGCACGAGGTTTTGTCCACCCAAGTTCATTTCATCACTGTTTGGGTACCTAAACAAACTTAACATGGCTTATAGAGATACCATGCAATTGAGAGTAATGTGTAATTGTGTTTACTGTTTCAGATGAAACTTCAAAAGACTTGCATAAAAAAAACAGCATAACAAATTTGGTGTTGATGGATTCAAAGTAAGAACGAGTAAGATTGCTACAAAATATTGGTTAAACCTGCAGTTCATCTATCTATAAGCCAATTTAACATGGAATTTCATTAAGAGAATACTTTTCTTTAATCTTGCAGCGGAACATAAGAAAAAATGTGCTTAGCAATTTTTCAGTAAGCCCATTGATTTGGGTATGAGAAAACCAGAGAGGCTGCACTTTGATTTAGTAGCTAATTTTCTTCACCCTGGTCCAACTGGGCTATAACTATCACATTTTCCATAACACTCTTAGTAACCACTGATAACCAGTTACTAACTTAAACACACAAAACTTTAGGTCAAAGTTTAACACACAATTAAATCAGATCTTGGATTACGTTCCACGTCGGACTATACTGCATTTTAATTTTAACTTTGACAATGATATTCACCTTGATGTTTCCAACACAGAATAGGAAGAAGCAAACATATATACTCCCAAACAAGATTAAAAGTGCATAACCCCAAACTGTTTAATAAATTTAACCCAATGAAATATTGTCTATTTTTAAAAATGTTATATACAGTCGACAAGAATCAGCTACGTATGTATGTAGATTGGGTGTGAAAAATTCACTCACCAGAAGCAACTGAGGAACTTTCCCTACTAAATGTTGGAGTCTAGGTTAAATTTTGCAGAAGCTAACATAACTATCTTTCTGTTTAAAATGACTGTCTATCCTTTACTGATGCAAAGAAAATTCTTCTAAAACAAGCATAGTTCAGCATAGCCAGTCTTTCCAAGTCAGTTCCAGTTCCTCTGGATAGTATTATCAAGCAGCAAACTGAGTAATAACCTATTCTTTTCACTGTTACTGCTCAGAACCATGTGATCCTTCAACATGTGTTCCACTCTTGGTGTGCATGTCCCACATGATCAGATTCCTTCTAAATAAAAAAACCCTATGAAAGAGGTTCACTTATGCAGCTGTTTTTCCTGAACTTTTTCTGTATGCTGCCTAACATCCTATTGAACTGAATTCCCAGATTGGTGACAGAGAAAGTGTCTTTACCATCGTGGTAGTATGCAAGAAGTTAACATGCTGCATGATGATTATTCAAGTATAACACCAAGAAGACAGCTTTCTCCTTATTGAGTGGCAGGCACCATTGATGATAACATTTTTTTCAGAACTGTAAGGTCACAGGAGGCCATTATCTCCATTGCTTCCAACTACTTTGAGCTCCTTGTTATAAGCAGATCAACAACACACAAAACTGAGCAAAACAGGAGCAAGTATAGAGTTCTTGGAAGAGCCATTCTTCAGTGCACATGTGCAACTCCATCTACTGTTCAGAAGGAACAAGTACATCTACTGGACAAAATCTCCTCTAAGGTATGCAAGCTGCAGATATTTTAAATAATGGTGCTTCAACACCCTACTGCTGCGTCATACTGCGTCATGAGCCGTAGGAAAAAAAGTCAACAAACACTGCCCTGCACTCTTCCTTTGCTTCAAAGGCTGACTCAGTCTTGGTAGGAAGAGGTACCAAGAAAGGAACTTCACCGCTCACCTGTAACAAATCTGTCCACCAGCTTAAAGAGGAGAGGACTCCTGAGGAAACTGTGACCAGCCTGTCCCTGGTGTGCCTGTTGGGTAGATACATAGATTTCAATCAGCCTTGCAGAGGTAGCAGGTGAAATTTGGAATATTGTATGATTCAAGGTCAGACTGCCACATGCCTCATGAGTTTGAGGCAGTTCTTCACCCATGTCCCGGGTTGAGTGCAGAGCCTGTTGAGGAATTCTAGCATAGCGCTGAAGGATCTTTGCCCATCACCCTCCCTCCTTTGCTGTGAAATACTCCAAGGTGGACTCCAAGGCTCCTGGACACTGGAACTCACTAGTGAGCAACTCTGTGCCTCTAACCACCACCACTCTGTTGTCTTGTTACTCATACCAGTCAGCCTGGAGTGGGGTACATAATGAAACACTGCTCTCTATGTTGGTCATCTTGTAAGATGAGCTCCAAAAAGAGGGGTCTGATAAGTTATTCCTGATGGAAAAGTCCATGCTGTACTCAACTCCTCCCCACTGCCCCTCAACCCAAGAAGTCCAGGGAAGATCAATCATTTAACTGGTGAGTTGCAGCTTCACCTCCTCAAAAGTTGCCTCTGTCACAGACCACACTCCTCAGCAATGAGACAGGAACACCACTCCAGCCAGCAATCCAGGCACAGCTTGTCATTGCCAGTTCCACACAAGAGGCTCAAAACCTTTCCCATGTGGTCATTAAACTGAAAAAAAAAAATCACAGATCCATGTCTCTTCCCAAAGATCTGACACCAGTGGTTCCTTTGCCTAAGAACCATACTACTACTGGTACCATACTGGCATTGATCTCAACAAAGACCTTCCACACCTAAAACTTTACCATAAGCACAAAGAATTACCTCCTCAAAACAAGACTTCACCTCAAGCACTGGGCAGCTCAGTACTGAAGCCATTTGTGATCCCAGACAATTTTCAGTAGACTCAGTTTCAGACTCTCCACCCCTGAAATATTTAAGAGGATGTTATCTCCAAGATGCTCTCCAACCTGACCCAGCATGGTGCAGGACCAGCACTGTGAACAGGACTACAGCTCCAGTAGATGAGATGTATTCATTCTCATCATCTTGAAGGCACGCTCGACAGCTTCCCTTTCTCATACACAATCCCACCCTGAGTGGCACAGTGGGAGTCCCTCAGGCAACAGACAGAAGCAACAGAAGAACACAGAAAGAGAGCAGGAGCCTTCAGGGAGCAACCCAGCTGTTAACTCTATATGCCCGCCAATTCTAACTATACTGATTTCATGAAGTATGAAACCCTAACTTCAGGAAACACACTTCAACTGTCTCTTTTTCCAAAGAAGCAAATAAAGACACCTCTAGCTCTTCAGCTCCAATCAGTAGAGGGTGAGAGTACTATAGGAAGGAGTCTTTCCACAGATCCAGAACACCCCAATCCTAAAAAGAGGACCTAATCCTCATGTCCTGTTAAGGCAGTTAATCCTTTCTCCCCTCTGCTTACCAGGATGAGTTTATACTTTTTTTAAAGATCTCTTCAAAGAAACTAAACAGATTTTTATTTTATATTCTACTATAAGGTCAGACAAAAACTTAAGATCTTTTCCATACAAAGAGTTTGGACATGATAGTCTTTTAATGAAAACTGGGGCCTGGAAAAAACAAAACAAAACAAAAACATACTTTGGGCTCTCTTCTGCCTACTTCAAAGAGAGCTGTTAGAAATACCAAGTTCCAAAAAAAGGGGCTTAAATACAGTCATCAATATTGGGCCCTACTTTTTTGGTAGTGCAATGATCTCAAGAGAAGCACAGAACAGAAAAATTCCATCCCTCACGAGAAGTATCCAAAAAGACTGGCTCCATTTGCTTATAAGTTATGGACTTCCATAAACCTAAAGATGAAAATCATTTATTAATAAACTCAGCTCTTCAAATACAATATTCTCCTTTGAAATTAACTATCAATCAAGCATAATAAAATAACTACCAAGGGAACAGATGGAAGAACCGAAGGCTTATGAATCAAGGCCAGCTCACAGCCAGTATTCTCTTTGTACACCACTTTCAATGCCTCAGGTGTGGCTAAAATGGTATTTTCTGCCATTGCAAGGTATTCTTTCTGTCTTAAGGCACAGTATATTTAAGGGGATTGAGCTATTTAAGTAGTAGCATAGGCAGGATGCTTCAAGTTTCAAAGGCACCAAGGTGACCTGCTATCTCTGTATTTTGGTCCCTACAGCTCAAGAGGAAGCAGCAGAAAAGACAGTCCTACTGCAACAGACTTCAGTCAAAGTACTAACCCTAGCAATGATCTTCTGAGCCTCTATGGCAGTGATCCTCAACCTTTTTAGACTTAAGGTACCCCTCAGAAAATTCCAGTTCTTATTTTTCACTAATTTCTGGCTACAGAAAAACAGAACAATTATTCTGTTGCAAAGAAGTCAGAAAGACCACAACACGTCAGAATATTTTTGACATTGTGGATTCCTATTTGAAAACTCTCAATTTATCTTGTGAATCATGTTTGCACACTTAACAGCATTGATATTGTGCAGCAACCCACATCACCCTAGTTAAGAATCACTGCTGTATGGAAAAGTAAATTTTGATAGATACCATCCAGCTGCTGTTTTGTCACTCAGACCACAACCTGGACCTTTTTTGAAGGATCAATTTTGATGCCGTGATCAAGAGCCTGGCAAAACTTCCAGTGAATCCTTTTTATTTCTTTCCCTTTTTTTTTTTATGCAACCACATCTTTTCTCCCCTAGAAGTTTAGATGGGAACCTTGAGCTGGTGGGTCATTAAGATAGCGAGCAAGGGGTATCCATCCAGTTTCAGTCTTTTCCCACCACCTCTCTATTCCTTATCCCTCTTGGTTTAAATTAGAAGTAAATGCTTAAAAATGAAATACTTTTCACATAAATCTTAATACTTTTCATAGTATGTTTGTGATTAGGCTATAGCAGCACCTACAGATAAATGTGAAGTGATTACATTTTGTATTCCTATCTGCTTAAGGTAGCCTAATCTACAATGTGGTTTTCAGCTAACAAATTTCAGTATGCAGGTCTACTATCAGCACTCCAAGGACACTATAACTGAAAGGAAAAATTCTTTTAAAATAAAGCACAATGCAGCCTTTCATGTAGATTTTGCAATGGCTAAAATGACAGTGTGCAGAGCCTTATTTTTTTTCTCCAACAGAAAGAAAGGGACTTAAGTAGATTGCATACCAAAAGCAAAAGGAAAAAAAAACAACGTGGTAGAGGTGAAAATTTAAATAAGAACAAACTATTCTGCCTTTTCTAAAGATAATGTTGTGCACACTACTAGCCGGCCTTATTTTAGAGAAAAAGAACAAAACTGAGTTTTTAACCTAATACACAAGACCTGCAGTACAGAAATCTCTAATTTATGAAAAACAGCGTGTGGGAAAAACAAACAAACAAAAACAATTATTTTCCAACATATTTCACTTCAATAATAAAATTCAACACAAGTACTTTTATAAATATAAGAAAACAAAGAATATTTTAGTTCATTACTGCAATATACACAATTTCTTTTTAGAAACTCTGCTTACCTGCTCATAATTCAGACGCTGAATTTCAGAAATTTCTTTTGGTTTTGCATCAAGAATATAATCTCCTAAAAAAGGAGAAAGTAAATTGTTTACATTTATAGCTGATCCCAGAGCTCCAAGCTGTAAACAAACTTTTAATGAGCATCTCTGTGAAGCTGTTTAGTTATTTGACCATCTAGTGGCATCTAAGTTCTCTAAGTTAATAAGAGTTCAATCTCTTAGACCTTTAATCAAAATTAAATAAGAATAAAGGTAATATACACTTTTCTTAAGAGTAAAGGCCAAATGACAGGCAAGCATTTTGGTTTGGCATTAAGCTATTGAAATAACACTTCATAATCTGTTACAAAATCAACCATATCTGTAATGAGTTTGACTATTCAAAAGTGTGCTTTATTTTTTGTTGCTGCTTATTTCTACATATTACAGATAGATTCAATCTGCCTCTGAAATTCTGACATTCACTGTGATGTATAACTAAGGCTGTCAGTCAATCAATCAGGATACGGAGTTTGAATCCAGCCTTCCACAAAATGTAACAGATATGTTAGTGATAAGTCATCATAAAGGACAAACAAAGAATATATATTTCATGTTTGACTCTTGATTTTGATATTTAGCACTTCCCTGATACAAGATTTTAAAGAAAACGCTACCTTGGAAAAAGTGATTCAATAAGAACTAAATTTGGGTTCTCTCTCTATTATTTTTTAAGCTCAATTATCTTGGCTACACGAGACGTTTTTTCAACTGTTAGCCCTGTTAATTCAATTTACAACCTAAAATTCAAGCTGGGTTCTTGTTTTCTCAACACATTATGAACAAATAACATTTTGCAAGCTAATTGCATCCACTTAAGTATAAAATTAATAGTTTAACTGAACAACAAAACTGTTTAGCCACCTAAATTCAACTTGATCTTCAAGTTACAGGTTGAGTCTAAAAAGCTGGCAATTACTGAAAGAAGTTTACTTTTAAGTCAGCAATCCTGAGCAGGAAGAGAGTCTAACAACATAAAAATCATTTTTAGAAATCAAATGCTGTGGATTTGAGTAGTACATTTCTAAGACACAAAATACTGTTTAGTTTAAGTCATTTGTTTATTTAATGTATAGCCTTGCTGATAACTGAATAAAAAGCACAGCTTTTATCATATAGCAACTGCTGTTCTTCAAAAATACTGTAGTCAGCATGGCTCATTTTAAATGTACTTGTGAGTCCCATACTTGGAATATTTTGATTAGCCATGCCTATCCAGACTGCACAGGTATCTTGTGCCTTTTCATGCTCTAGTGCAATGGCACGATGAATCAGAGTGCCTGTGATCTTTACTCAGTTCCCTCACAACCTGAAGCCCATCTTACACAATCCTGGCCAACTACACTTCAGGGTATCATAG